AGACACTTACACCATCCAACCAGGCTGAAGAGTGAGCAGGCAGTCAGCCCTTCCTTCCCCCCCCCACATACACACGTGTGTGCACACACACACACACACACACACACACACGGGTGGGGGAGGGCTGGAGTGCTTGGCAGCTACAACCTTCTCCTTCACCTTCAGCGGGCAGCTGCTGCTTGAGAACCTGGGCTTGGGGGGAAGTGGCGCCAGCACTTACGAGCATGGGCTCAGCATCTCGTAGGGGTGAGGACATGCAGCTCAAGGCTGACACACTACCTCTCAGCTCTGACCCCCAACATGCAGTTGTGCCCCGGAGAGTAGCAGTACGAGAACACGTGCCAACTACGTGACCTTGTGCTGAGCCTGAACTGACTTAGGCTTCTCGGCTGATCTCTCCAACACACCACTGAACTTCAAGGACCCTCGTAACTGCCAGGTCAATGCTGAGGCTAGGGCTGGAGGTGAGGCATTGCTGCTGCTCCTGACAAGCTCACTCTGTGGCACAAACTACACACATCTAAAAAAGGGCTTGGGCTCACCATCCTGAGTGCACATGGCAAACCGAGAAACCCCAGGCAAGACAGCCCTGCCCGCACAAATCCTTGAATGTCCATTTCTGTCTGCTCCATTCGTCTCAATACATCTAAGACAGAGAGACAGGGAAGCTCACGGTTAACCTGTCGCCATTCGTACCAACATCTGGCGCAGAGCTCCTGGTCTACTCAGAAGGGGAGTCTGGGCGAGGGGGGTAGATGACACCACACAGAGGAAGCCATATTAGTCTGTGAGACCCAGATGTGGGTCTCAGGACCCTAAGCCAGCAGCTCAGGTGCCTCCAGAAGATTCTAGCAGCATTTTCAATCAACATAATTGATCTGATGCTCGGAAAGTCCAAGGCTCCTCAACTGTGGCACCGGGACCTAGATGGCAGACTGTGCCATCAGGAAGTGTCCAGGATCCCTGGATCCATTACCAGGGCGTCATCCTCCACGTTGGCGCAGACTTCCACCTGGACAGAGATGGAAGAAGAGCACGTGGCTAGAAAGGGCACTCTAGCCACATGCCAGAGTGGCTTTGCCTTGCCATCCTACTTTGCTGCCGTTTTCAATCGACTTTAGCACACACCAGCAGATGGAAGCTAGAGAAGGACTTAGAAATGAATCCACAGGGGCAGAGTTCCACTGCTGAGAGGGACGACTGTGAGCCGGTCAGTTTAGCTTCCTCCCAGAGGACTACACCTCTGTCACCACCCAATGTCACTACCGAAATGAAACACGTGTAAAATCAGACTGATATCTTTGTTGTTTATTTTTAAAATCTTATTCAAAATATTAAATAATACAATTTCAGGTATGAAAAAAATGACTGCAATAAAACAGTTCCTATGTATTTCCACTGTGCCTCCCTTCCTTCCAGGACAGCACAGTGTCCACCGAGAGAAGGGATAGCCAGCCTGCTTCTTCCACCTCACAAGAGCACGGGGCCACTGGCTTGCCTGGGCCTTGTTCTACGTAGGCTGGGGGTTATGTGTTTTAAAAGGTTGTAGTGACACTTGTAAGTCAATCATGGTTCAAATCATATATTTACATACTGATCAATTCTTTATGATAGAAAGACAGGCTAAAATGAGATGCAGTACGAAATTTCCAGTTGCTGTAAAAACAAACAAACAAAAAAAGACAACAAAACCAGTACAAGAGAAAAGGTACACATAGATCCTTTATGTGTACAAACAGCTTCATCCAGGTAAAATTTTAATCTGAATAACCTACACACAATATTATTTAAATGATAATGACCCCCAAGACTTATTCAAACTTAGTATAAAGTAATAAGCAAAGTGAACAAATCCCATACAACCTTAAACTCTGCCCACTGCTAGAAACCTTGGAAGAACCCATTCTACAAGCAATTGCTAACTAAAAGCAACTGTACATGTAGTTCATGTTTTACCACAGTTCCTATTTCTAAACTTAATCCAGCAATTCAAACCAATAGACAGTATTTCTATAACATTTTATCTCTGTCCCCTGCAAATCAGAGTCTCTACTGCCAGAATTTCTGGACACATTGAATGTGCCACCTAAAATTGTGGTCAGATTCAACAATATCATTATTTTAAATTACCTGAAAATATCCAACGCTATTTTTTGGAAGAAAAAATGTTACTTAATGCTATGCATTATTCACATATATCCTTATAGTTTGGAACCACAAAGGAATGTGTGCTTAAAAACCAGCAGCTGGATGGCGGAGAATAGCTCTGAGTCAGCAGTAGTAGGTATGTTAGAATTCAGTTACAAGTCTGGGATCTTCTCAAAGTAGCATCACTAATACTTCCAGAAGAAGTATGATAAGTCTAAAACAATAGAACAGTGTAAATAATAAGGTAATGCTTAACTCACATTTTGGACACCTGATTGGCGTGAGTTCTAAAGTATAGAAAAAAATTACATACTATACTCCTTGTTTGTGACATTTAAGTTCCAAAGCACCAAGGCAAAAAAGAGAGACCCACCTCTCATTTAAGTACCAATTGCCTATGGCAAACATCTGCACAATATCATATAAAAAGTCAAGCAAATAAAATTACATAATAAGCAAACCCAAATCACAGTGCTTTAGAAAATGTAATCATTGGTAATCTTCAAAGAAGGCATTGCCTCGTTAACATTCTGGTCTAGACGATGATATTCCACTGTTTTGGAACAAAGGCCATCACGCCACTTCCGGCTTTGAACCAAAAGGAAAATCTGGAATAAAACAAAAGTAATTAAATATGCAGAACACAGAGGAAATATTTTTTCTTTAATTTTCATAACAGGGCACGTGCGAGCACACATGAGAGAGAGAGAGAAAGACAATGAAAGAGAGAGAGTCGAGCACTGTCCCAAAGGGCCTGGTCACACCACACTCCTCCTCCTCCTCCAGTCCTGCAGCCCATCAGACCCTGGACTCTTGCACATGGGCCTAGGACGTGTCAAGATTACTGGGCTGGGATTTAAACCTTGGTGGGGTCTGGTTTCTCCTGAGCGGGGCATTACTGCTGTACCATCGAGCCAGCCCTGATAAACATCTTATCAATGGTCCCTGTCTTCCTTCTTGTACAATCCAGAGGAATATTTTTATCAACTATTTTGTAAGTTCAAGTTTTTTAGTAACTCTAGAAACATTCTTAAGAAGGAGAGAATCCTGTCTCATCCCATTTTTTAAGTGTAAATGCTTTAAGAGGTGAAATCATTTACTCGTCGTTTATTTTTTCAGTACAAACAGAAAACAGTGGGACACTGACTTATAGGAGACTTTGACTCTCTTGTGTGTCACATTAACATTCCATAGGTCAGGACCAGCAGTTAGCGTAATGGCTATGTCACCGGACTCCTATGTAGTCAACCACAGTTCGAGTTCCAGTCCTGGCAGCTTAAACTCACGCTGGGTGTGTGTGCATGCATGCCCGAGATCCCAAGAGGAGAATGCAGGAGAAGGGACTGTGATGTGGCCATCTGCCCCACCCCGGGGGGTGATTTCTCACTTTCTGTCTCTCTCTGTCTTTCTGGCGAGCGCAACGCCCTAAAAAAAAAAAAAAAAAACATTCCATAGGTGGGGGTGGGTGGGTAGTTTTTATATCCTAAATACAAAGCATACTGGCATACTGGCAGTCGGGAGTCACAATCATGCATTTAATGTGTCTTGAATATTTCAAATTACTTCTATTCTGTTTTTTAGTAATATAGTTTCCTAAAGAAAACCACTCTTTGATTCTTGCTCTCCCTGTCAGAATTGTGTGCACTCTGTAACATCTTTGTTCGTGGTAGTCCAGTTTTTCTAATAATTTTGTTAATGTGCCGTGAAAGATTAGAAATTTGAGGAGCCGGCCGGGCGCCAAGGCTGCGTCCGGCCTGGGGACGCTGCGGGCCTTTCCGGGCTCTGCGCGTCTCCCCCGAGGCCCTGCGTGGCGGGGGG